CCAAGTCATCCACAGGTGGCAGGCTGCTTGCAGCCGTCTTGGGCTTTGGGCGTGGAGTCCTGAAAGACAGTCTCCCAGTGTTCCCTGCTTGTTCTGTATGTGGTCACTTCCAGGTGGACGTCAGTTGGTGGCTTCTTCCTCTCCAGGTGTGTTTCCGCTGCTCCTCCACATGGGTGTTTGAAATGGGGACGTTTCTTACAACTGGTAAGAACATGAATGTAGCCTCCCACCTCTCTGGAAGAACAGTCAGATTTGATAGCGTGGACACCATCTACCATCTTAGAAGCTAGAACCATGTTCATAACGGGGCAGGCCACATGGAATCGCCACTTTATTGGCAAATAGCCACACACAATTTTCCTATCCACTTTCCTTCTGTAGTGAGTTTTCCTGTTATCTGGTAAAAAGGGCCATAGCTAGATGATTTGGGATCAGGCAGAGTAATCTAATACTCGAAATTGAGAATGGAAAATGAAAAATAGGAGGTATTGTCCTGTTTTATCAATAGTGTAAATATTTATCCCTAGGTTGTTCTTGAACTTGTGTTATTTGACATAATTCCTCTTCAAAAGCACTTTCTTCTTTGGACTTCTATGACATCATGCTTCCTAGTAGCTTTCATTCTATCTTGTTTATTTTTTGGGGATGGGTTTCACTGTGTTGTGTGTCTAGTCTTGACCTCCTGGGCTCCAGCGATCCTCCTGCTTCAGCCTCCCCGAGTAGCTGCCTGTTTACCCCTGCACCCAGCTTCGTTCTCATTATTAACTTTCCTACCAGACCTCTGAATAACCCATGATTCTGCCTCGTACCACTCCCACCCGTTTTTTCCGTACTTTCTCACTAGGTGAATTTGTCCATTTCTAGAACTTGAATTATTCAGGTGTCTTTGGTAGACCGTTGATCCTCTCAGTCTGTCTTTAGTCTGAGACTTCCCCATGCTTCCATTTATGTGTGCAAAAGGCTGATGTGTGTTTCCAGCCGGATGTTCAATAGGGATCTCAAACATAGCACGGCTGAAACAAAAGTAATGATTCCCTGTTCCCCAAATCCTGCTTTCCACACCTCCTTCATCTCAGCAAAGGGCATTGCATATGTCTGCTGCTCAGGCAGAATCCTTCCTGTGTGCTTCGGAACCTGACTTGATTCCTCCTGCGGGTCTCCTGTTTAATCTGGCTTCTCATTACTGTGCTCTGGTTTGGTCAAATGTTCCCTGAAGGCCCGTGTGTGAAAGGTTTGGCCTGCAGGACGGTGTTATTAGGATGCGGTGGAGCTAGAGGGAGGTCAATGGACTGTGGACACTGGCCTCTTTTTCTTCTGCTTCCTGGCCATGAGTTGAACTGTTTTGCTCTTCCATTTCCTCCCTCCTTGATGTGGTGCCTAACCAGAGGCCCAAAAGAAGGGGACCAATTGGTCATGGACTGGAACTTTAAAAGCTGGGCCAAAATGAACCCTCTCTTTATAAGTCAATAATTGCAGGTATTTTGTTAGAGTGTTGGAAAGCTAACACACTCTATTTTCAAAATATGCCCCCCCCTTGTCTTGCCATAGCTGTGATCCCAGTTACCATGGTGTTTCATGTACTCCTAGGAACAGCTTTTAGCTGTCTTACTGCCTTTACTTTCTTTCCCCCACTGCCTTTACTGTTGTCCGTCTACAGTCTTCACAGTGCAGCCAGAATGTTCTTCCTGAAGTAGAAATTAGCTCTTGTTGGAAATCCAGTGGTGACTTTGTTACACTTAGAATGAAATCCTAAGTTCATTTGCCACCAGACTCTGGGCCTTGCCTGCCTCTGACCTTTCTTCCCTACTCTGCAGACATCCACACACACCGGTCTTTTCCCTCTTCCTAAGACACAGTGAATGTGGTGCTGCTTCAGGGCCTCTGCGCTGTGGTGTGCTCTTCCTTCTCGTCTTTGCATGGCAGATTCCTCCCCATCATTTCCACCCCTGAGGGAGGGCTCTTGGAGTCAGCACCCCCAGTTTTCTCTGCTACCCTTCTTAATCATCATCATGGGTTGGCATTTCAAATGATTCTGTTTATTTCTTTGCTTTTTGTTAAGTTTTTTTGGAGTACCAGGGATTGAACTTGGGGGCACTCAATCACTGAGCCACATCCCAGCCCTATTTTGTATTTTATTTGGAGACAGGGTCTCACTGAGTTGCTTAGCGCCTCACTTTTGCTGAAGCTGGCTTTGAACTCACAATCTTCCTGCCTCAGCCCCCCGAGCTCTTGCAGGCATGCACTGCCATTCCCGACTTAATTTAAATTTTAATGTTTCATGTGTCAGACACCAAGACTGTGAGGAGGGTCTCTTCGCAGCCACGTTCCCGGTAGCTAGTCTGGAGCCTGCTCCTGGGAGATCCTTAGTGTGTGCTGGCTGCGGTGTGACTGATTGAAGCCTTTCAGTAGAGCCGTCTTGTGACAATATTCAGTAAGATGTACTAACTCCAGGTTGAGTTGAGAAAAAATTAGGAATTTCCTGTGTTCATTGGAGAAGGCTTATTCTCTCTTGGGCGGGGGCTCTAAAAGTGTATGTAATTTTGCCTGCATTTGGTATATTCACAGGGTTCTTGTTGATTGCAATTACTGGACCATCAAGCATAATATTGATGATCTTTATTTCGAAAGCCACCATTGGCAAAATTCCAAAGTAGGCTAATTTCTCTTATTTATTGCTGGAGTTTTCCTTGAGTGCCTGTGGCATGAGTTTTCTAATAATTTGAAGGTAATTGGATGGACGGATGGACCAGGAGGCAAGCTGGCATCTGGTACAGTTCTGTCGTTAGTGTGGCTTTTTTTTTTTTTTAAATGTGCAGTCGCTACATGTTTTCAATCCTCAGTTAACATGTATGCACGAGTTTTTCTTGTCTGCATAGTGCATTGCTCATAGTAGTGATGTTTTAAATCCAACATTTATTCAGTAAATATTTAATTAAGCGACTGCCATGTCGTAAGTGGTGGGGATCTAGCTGTGAACAAGGGAGAAGTCCCGTAGTAGACATTTAAGTACATCAGACTTCTTTGAAGTTATTTCAGAAGTCCACGTTGGCCTCCAGAGCGTTGGGAGGCTGGTGGGAGTTGGTGGAAGTGCCCTGTGCACGTGGCCCCACAGCATCCCACCGTCCCCCATCGCGTCCTCTATGTGCACCTCGGGTCTTCCATGGCCATTTGAGTGTCGGGTCTGTACCCATCTCAGCATTGGGATTTGGACTTTGCGAGAACAGCGGATTAAAATACAGCCTTCAGTATCTAAGAGCACGAAGACAGCCTGGAAAGGTGGATGATCTTAATACAGAATTTTAAAGTGGAAGAATATTCTCTGCACGGTCAGTGATGGGTGTGCAGAGCAGAGGCAGCCCACGAGCCTGCAGCTGAGACTGGAGGCTGGGCCGAGGGCCCTGGCTGGACCGGGGCTGCGGGGAGAAATGCATATTGAGTGGGGACAGCAGGTGGCTAGAGCTGGAGAGGCCGAGTCTCTGTCCTGAGAAGTCAGGCTGGGGTCAGACTGGTGTTAGAGGAAGGACCTTTCAGGTGGCTTTGAGGAGAGAACTCTGAGGGACCTAAGAGGACATTGGCGAATACTCTTCTTTATCTGAGTTGGGAAGTGACATCAGATTTGTCTCAGAGAAAGCTAATTGGTGACAAAACAGACCATGGGGTGGTGGTGGGGGTGTGAGAGGAAGGTGTGAGATGAGATGGAGGATTCTCGTGGTTGACTTAGAGTAATAATGCCTTCGCCTTGCTTTTTGTTATTTCAAGAATTTTTTGATCCTGCCTCTTTATTTAAAAAAAGGAAAGACTATCATTTTTTAAAATTGAGGGGAAAGAAGTTCTTACTAAGTTTCAGCCTTTGCTCAAATCTGCCTTCCTGGGTAGGAGTGCACGGGGACACCTGTCTGTCCTGCAGCCATCCGACCCGGGCTTCGGGTCTTACTGCAGTGCTGTTGAAGCACTCTGGGGCTCGGTTTTCGTTTTCCTTCCTTTAAGTCATTCTCCTTTAATGTGTAAGGTTCTGTTGGGAAACAAAAGTATCTAAACTAAAGGTAGAATAGGAACAAAGTTGTAGGTATTTGTAAATTCACTTTAAATTTTTTTTTTAGTTGTACGTGGACACAATACCTTTATTTTGTTTACTTTTTTCACGTGGTGTGGTGCCGGGGATCCAACCCAGGGCCTCACACATGCTAGGCAAGCGCTCTGCTACTGAGCCACAACCCCAGCCCATAAATTCACTTTAAATAAGCATGAGTTTGGATTATTTCTTGTGTTGCCAGTGAGAGTATTATAATAGTGATTTATATACATGTATGTACACCCCCATATATAGTGTGTAACTATATTTAACCAAATTGGTGATAGTAATGAAAGACTCATTTTGAGTGACATTAATTTTCAAGGCAGACAAGTTACACTTTTAATAACTTCTCCAGCAACAGAATACACACTGTATGCTGATACCTGTGCCTGAAAAGTGTTGAAATTATAAATAAATGACAACTAAATTTTGTCTTGGTACCGTGGATTGAACTGGGGAGCACTTAACCATTAAGTACATTCCTAGTCTTTTTTTTTTTGGTATTTATTTAGAGACAGGGTCTCACGGAGTTGCTTAGGTCCTGGCTAAGTTGCTGAGGCTGGCTTTGGACTCATGATCCTCCTGCCTCAGCCTCCTGAGCCGCTGGGATTACAGGCGTGGGCCACTGATAACTAATTTTGTGTTCAGGGATCAGATTGGGCCCGTTTCGCTTTGGGTCGGAAGTTGTGGAATGGAGCTCTCCTGGAGACGAGGGAGGGGACTGCTGTGCTTGTTACGTTGACATGCCCATGCCGAGGGGCCGCACAGAGCACACCTTCAGGTCCACTGCTCCCGATGGCTGCCCACCCACCTCCTACCTTCTTCCCTCCCCAGCAGTCCCATGCCACCCGTGAACACTTGGGTGTTTTTGATTTGATTAAAAGTGATACTTAATTTTTCTTTTGTGCTTGTTTTTTAAACCTAGAAAACGCATCAGATGCAGATCTGTGGCTCCTGAACAGTTGCACTGTGAAGAACCCAGCCGAAGACCACTTTAGAAACTCCATTAAGTAGGTGAACTTGTTCTGTTTTACCTGTGGGTTTTTTTTTTTTTTAAATATTTTTTAGCTGTCAATGAATCTTTGCTTTATATGTGGTATTGAGAATCGAACCCAGTGCCTCACACATGCTAGGCAGGTGTTGTACCCCTGAGCTACATCCACAGCCTGATTTTCCTATTTTTAATAACCAGGGAAAGAGTTAAAATCAGTTAACTGGCCTTGAAAAGTTTCCGGGCATCAATATAAATAATTAGACGGTGTCAGCGTCCGAGTTGGGCTTGTCAGATTTACTGTTTTGAATTTGATGAAGAATGAAGCTTTCGTGGGGACCTTTCTGATGTGACGTGGGTGTTTGCGGAGTCACCCAACGGGTGGTGGAAGTGCATGGCTGTGGGTCCTGTGGTCCTCTTGGAACCCAGTGATTGTGTGGAGTCGCCAGGTCCGGCTCCTGCTGCTCTCCTAGGCCCTGCCCGCCAGCCCTGCTCCTCCCAGGGAGTGGCAGGGCGTGGGGCAGATGGGTGCAGAGGCCCTGCCTGTGCCATTCCCTCAGGAACGTGGCAGGGGCGCTCTATCTTCACCCCACCACCTCCTCGGATGCCTCTTCCCTACTTCAGCCTCTCCCATCCACCGGCGCCTTTCATCAGGGTTTACACCGCCCCCCAAGTCCCCCGGGGCCTGTGGTCCTGTCTTCCCCTGTCTTCCTCTGCCTGCCTTCCCGCTCAGACCTCCTCAGTTTCTCTGCTTCTTAACTTTACCCTCCTACTCTCTCTCCCCTCAGTGGTTTTACTATGAAATCTATTACACAGACACAGCTTAAAATAACACGCCACACCTGTGTGTAAACCACCCAGCATGAGAACTGTATCGTTTCAGAACCATAGAAACTGCCCTGTGTCCCTCTTTCAGCAATACCCCGAGAGTCGTCCTTCTCCTGCGTTCTGAGTCATTGCCTTCGATTGTCTTCCCAGCGTACCTCTAACCCCACTGCCGATCCCGTCTTGAACTTGATTCCATGGACACTGTTCTGAGATTTGCCTCTTTTCTTCACATTGCACTTTGTGGTTTATCCGTTTTGGTGGGTGTAAAATGACCCGGGCTGTTAGCAGCATTTCCTTGAATGAATTTGCCACTCTTTGTTTCTCCATTGTACCATCGACCTGGTTTTCATTTTCCCTGGTGTTTGCTTTTCCTCTCCTCCCTTCCCTTGTCCCTTCTTTGCTGGGGATTGAACCCAGGAGCTTTCTACCTCTGAGCTACAGCCCCAGTCTTTTCTTTCTTTCTTTTTTTCTTGAGATAGGGTCTTGCTGAGGCTGACCTCAAACTGTATGATCCTCCTGCCTCAGCCTCCTGAGTCACTGGGATTGCATGCAGGTGCCACTGCTCTGGCCTGGTATTCCACTTTCCCGAACACTGCTGCCGTTGAAACATTGCATCTGCACAAGAGTTGCTCTAGGCAGTGCACTGAGTCCTTGAACTGTTGGGTCACCGTGATGGATGTGTATGTTTGGTGTTCTCTGTTCTTGTTAATGATGACACAGTCAGGTTTCGAAAGTTTTGCAAATCTGACGAGGATGGTATCTCAGTGTGGTTTTAATTCGCATTTTCATTATCAGTAATGAGCTTGGGCATCTCTGTGTGTTGGCCATTTGGGTCTCCCCTTTTTTGCGAAGTGGCTTTGTAGGTATTTTGTCCATTTTCCTGTGAGTTTTTTCTTTATATTTTGTGGCAAAAATACATCATCCAGCATCCTGTGAGTCCCGAGACATTGCACATGGTGCAAGATGTCACGCGTTTCCAGTGGTGCTTTTCACTCTCGTCAGTGGTTTCATTTGTTGAGAAGAAATGCTGGTTTAAAATTTGTTCATTCTTTTACCATACGATTTATTTTTATTTTTTTTAGTCATACATGACAGCAGAATGCATTTTGATATGTAATACATACATGAAATGTACATACATCAATCATAATATCTATTCTATTCTGCCCTTCCTATCCCCCCTACTCCTCCCCTCCTCTCCCATCCTTTCTCTCTATCCAATCTAATGTGACACACTTTTTCTTTCCCTCATCACAACATCATACATGTATTCTGTATAACAATGAGGTTCCCCTTCCATCTTCTGTGCAACTCCCCTTCTCCCTCTTTTTCCCTCCCACCTCTCTTCCCTATTTAGTGGTAGTCTTCTTCTCATGCTCTTCCTCCCTATCCCATTTTGAGTCACCCCCCCTTGTTCATTCTTTTGGTCTGTGTTCTTAACAAGTCCTTACCGTGAAGCTGCTAAGACATTCTCCTGCATTTTCTTCTTAAAAACGTTTCATGATTTTAACCCACATTGAGATCTGTACTATCTGGAATGGTTTTTTCCTGGTGTGGTCCTGGGAAGTGGTCCAGTTTTATTTTTTTCTTTATCCATACAGGGGCTCCAGTGTCAGTTTTGTGAATTACGCTTTTGCCTTTTACCCATGTATTACCCACTCTGATGAGTTGAGTGTCCACAGTTGTGTGGGTCTGTCCCTGGCTGTTTCGTTTCATTGACTGACTTCTTTATTCAGGTTCTTGTTCTCACAGTCCTAAGTGGTAGGAATCTGTATGAAGTCTAGGTAATTTGGTAGTGCTAGTGCCCTTATACGTGTCTTGTCTTTCCCTGCTCTTTCCTTCCAGCAAACTTCATATCGGTTTTTAAGTTCAACAGGGAATGCCATTGGGATTTTAATTGTGAAGACACTGAAGTTTTAGATGACTTGGAGATCTGAACCTTCAATTTTGTGTTTTCCCCTCCATGAGGAGGTACAATTCCTGGTCACTTAATGATGATAGGTCTGAGAACTGTAGGTCACTGCATCTTTGCAGGATCATCCTAGAGTGTACTTAACACTGCTCGGCTAAGGTGTCACCAGGTGCTGTCATCTCATGGGGACATTGCTATGTGGACATGTCTATATTTAGGTCTACTCTGACTTTCTAAGGATTTAAAAATTTTAAAATATTGCTCTTGTGCATCTTTTAGATATCGTCCATTGTAGTAGATACTGAATTGCTTCAGTATTATTTAAAAAGAAACATTCGTTCTTTTGACTTTTATCTGGATAGTACTTTAAATCTTTCTACTATTGTAAATGGTAAACTTATTATTATTGTTTTGGTGATTCTGTGTTTGCTCCCTTGGTCTCAGGATTGTTTCTAGAAACAATGTGAGGGATGCTTGGGTGTAAGGAATAGGGTAGATCAGTCCTGTTAGGCCTGGGCTGTCGTAGTCCAGGATCTGAGGGGAATTGGAGGAGGAGGAAGGATTTCTTACACTTCTCAAGTTGAAGGTGACTCCAAGGTCTGTGGCTACAGTGCAGTAAGGAATTTCAGAAAGGCCGTTCAGCTGAGGGAGGACTTGTTTTGGTTTGGAACGTGCTGTATTTGTAATCAAGTGGAATATATTAACAGGGTCATGACTGTGCTTGGCTCTTCTTGTGTTTTCCTGTGCGTGGCAGGCGCCGTTCCTTGCACTTTCATGAGTTGTGTATTGTGTAGCATAATTCTTGCAGCTCCTCAGAGTGGTAGACTCCATTTTTAGTGTTGTTTTAGGGATGAAGTAACATCTGTCTGACAGATGAAGTTCTTTAAGGCTGCTCAGTTCATAAATGGTGGAGGTGGGATTTTAACCCAGGCAGTCTGACTATTGTGTGGGTTTAACCATTTTATTTTTTCCACAGATGAAGATGTCGCTAAGCAGTTGTAGTCTTGAGGCAGCCATCAGTGAATTGGACAGATTTAAAACTGCAAAGAAGTGATGGCTGGGTACCATTCTTCCTGAGCTGTGGTGGGAGGCGAGGAGGCCGGGTGGAGCAGGGAGGCCGGGTGATGCTGGGAGGCAGGAGAAGGGAGAGTTTCACTGGGGCAGAGACGGCATCCACTAGATGCTGTTCACTTTGGAGAATGCTTTTCTTACTTTTTCAAGTGAGAAGTCTTGCTATATTCTCAACTTATGTATTTTCCCCATAAGAAAGAAAAATTAATATAGAGATATTTTATTGCTATTGCTACCCCCTAAGAATAGAACCCAGAGAATATTGTTTCCCATGTTTATTGTATAAGGTAGCTGGAGAGTATCTTCTAGACCATTTTTAAAAGTTTAAGTGTTCGCATATTTTGGGTTGGTTGTGTAGCATGTGTGAGCTGTGTCAGAAACGTGGTTCACAGTAATGACACGGTGGTTGAATGATTAAGGGAAGTAGGAATGACCTATACAAAAAGCTTGCAATTAAAAAGAAAATTTGTAGTTGTAGATGGACAGCATGCCTTTATTTTTGTATGTGGTGCTAAGGATCGAACCCAGTACCTCACTTGTGCTAGGCAAGCGCTCTGCCACTGAGCCACGGCCCCAGCCCAAATGCTTGTAATTTTACTACCAGCCTAGTGGTGGCAGGAACAGGTTCCTTTGGTCTACTGTTATGCTTGATTGAAAAATCAAAAAGAATTTTATTTTTTATTTTTTTTTAAAGAGAGAAAGAATTTTAATATTTATTTTTTAGTTTTCGGCGGACACAACATCTTTGTTTGTATGTGGTGCTGAGGATCGAACCCCGGCCGCACGCATGCCAGGCGAGCGCATTACCGCTTGAGCCACATCCCCAGCCCTAAAAAGAATTTTATGTGTGATTAAGTATATTTTAGTGACTTTGAAGATTTTTGATCATTGCAACTAGTTCTTTCTAAGGTAACGCTTTAGTTAACCATGGATTTGTTTCCCGAGTAAATATAATTCTGTAAAAAGGTACAATAACAATTAACATTGAGAAGACATTAGATTCCAGTGACGGTGCTGCCTTGGAGGCGCGGAGTGATAAACTGCCAACTCTTGTCAAGCACCTGGATTTATTTAGGTGTCTTCACGCTTCTTGCCACCTCCTGGCAAAGAGGAGGAGGAGTTGATGAACTTGGCTCTACCCGAGTCACTCACACATTTGTCTGCAGCTCTGCCATCCCCTGCAGTCTCTCTCGTAGGCATTTTATATT